CATTTAAAATTGTAGCTTACGTTACCTGCTTTTACACATGAGAGATGTTACAATACAAAATACTGACACATCCATCAGAGACAAAACATCTGATTTGTGTATTCCTGAACTAAAATGTAATGAGCTACATGATGTATGGGTTTTGGATAGCATCAACAGCACCAGTAATACATGAAACAACCACAAATATTGGACTGACTTCTGAAGTCCAAAGCAGAGTCAGCAGTCAAGTAAAAGGCTTTTGATTTTCTTCAGGGTGCCAGGGGCAGTCAAGTGTAAGGTGAAAATTTAGCACTTGTTAAAAACAAAACCAATTAACTAAAAGGATGGACAGTGTTCCTTGACAGCTATGCAGCATGGTTTGGAAAATAAGGTTCAAGTGAAAATTGAGATTTCGTCTCTCATGGAGATAGAAATGTTATCATTAACCCAGCACTTTTGCCATAAAACCTCTCATTTAAGACTTATAAAATGAGCAACGGAGAAAAGCAATCACTTTCAAAATTAAATACTTATCTGTATAAATAAAATTGATCTTTCTTTTCTTCCAGTGATGAAAGCGAAACTGTAGTTATTTCCATGGTCTTCCTCTGGAGAATTGAGAACCTCAGGAAAGCAAGTTCTTCCAACAGCTGCCAAGTTTAGAATTTGCAGTCTGTACACCACTCATGACACTCTATGCAAGAGCATGCAGCACTCAAATGTGCGTGTGTATGTATATACACATCCATCTATAAAGCCTGAAGGGTAGGATGGTGTGGGAAAGGCTGTGTGAAAAGGCATGAATCCTTATTTTGTCCCCTAAATCATTACAAAATTGCCCAGAAACACATATATAATATGACAAGAAAGTGAGGCTTGGATTTCTTGTACAGGTAGTTGAAGCTCTGAATGCTTCGCTATGGCCTCTGTGGAAAAAGAATACTTACACTTCAAACCCTTATATGAGGGTTTTGGGTTTTTCTTGAAATTAGTTTGTTTCTGAACACTTTGTATAGGAAAGCTTACATTTATTAAGTTGACTTGCACAAAATATCTGAAAATAACAAGGCATAACAAGTTGTCTTTTCTTTCCAGGAACGTTACACCCAGTGTTTAGGACTTGTAAGAAACAGATGTGCATTTCTTCACTTAATACACTGCATATTTCACTGTGATTTATGAAGGTGGTTTATTTTTCATACACATTAGAGCACTACGCTTATACTGACACAGGGGCTGAAGGCAGCAATACTGAACTCAGAGTTTTACTCCTCATCTGAAAACTATGGCCTTGTAGTTTTTGTGGGAGGTTTTGTTTGATTTTATTTTTAAACAAAGGCTCAAGGACTATTGGCTTAATTGGCCTGCAGTTCAGGATTATGATTAACACCAGCTAGAAACATCAGCCTTTTGTTGGAGCTCAGCTAAGTTCTGTCATTTTAATCACAAGTCAGTTTTTAGAGCACTAGACAGGACAGCACATTTATCAAAGTGTAAAATCAGTTTTTAAAGGCTAGAATGACCCTGACAACCTACAATATGAAAAGGCACACAGGTTTCCTGCCAGAGCTGCCTAGCATATAAACAGATAGAACCTCAGCACACAAAATTGCTGCCCTTGAAAGCACATGTGTCCTGTGATGTTGAATCTGTATTAGGTGCATAATCATCTCTGGAAAACAACGCCAATCTGAATGCTGGATATGGGAAATAGTCTGGGACAAAACCTTCGTAACAGAGATCACACATCTTTATCCCAGAATAACAATCACAATATTGTTTCACATTCCACTCTTGTAATTATCTCCAAAACAGTTATACTGGCAAAAAGTCCCGTTGATTATGATGAAACTGAACATTAGCCTTTTCCTGTTAATAACAAAGAACTAATTGGTAGAGACAGCATGTGTTGTTGCAGTTTTTCCAAAGTGTCACCCAAAGTCAGACAGACATCTAAAGAACAGTAGAAAAAACCTCAGTCCCTTCTATGTGCAGCTATAGATCAGGGAATGGAACCTCTTTTTTTGGTTTATTTTTTAGGTTTTGGTTGGGTTTTTTTTCTTTTTCTTTTTTTTTTTTTTTACACTAACATTAGCACAGCTCTGTTTACTGGTTTATTACTTGCTCCCCACACTCATGGTTAGGTTGGTGCATGAAATAACAAGAGTTTCAGACTCTCTCCAGAAAAGAAAGCATCTTGTTATAATAAAAAATAAAATCTTGTTAAAATAAAACAGAACTATAAGTCCAGTAACTTCCCTTTACATGGATATGACAAGCCAACACAGTGACTGGCAGGATTCATTTATAATTGCCCAAAAGATTCCATTTGTACCAGTATGCTGACTGCCTGGAGGACCTGAATACCAAATTCTCTTCAAGTTCTCATAGTGCTAGAATCTGATGACCTAACTTGTTTTTTTTTTTTTTTTTTTAAATAATATTTTATGGCTCTAGAAATGCATGGAATAACCATTTAACAGTTTGTGACAATACAGCAAAGTGTTGGCCTGTCTACACGGTGAATGAAAAACACATTTTAGAATACAGATGCCTCAGGCCTTGCTCTGGCTCCACGGAGAGAGGTGTTGCTGACAAGGCCATAGACATTGCAGAGTACAAGAAAGTACATTGTAGGGCACAACTGCCTGCAGCACACTCATTGATTAGCTTTAGATTTTACTAGAGGTTTGTTCAAAGCAAAGGTTCTGTCTGGGGCCTCCAGCACCACCCAGTTTTTATTCATATCAGATGCTAGCACATCCCTTCCTATTTCCTTCTTGTGCCTATGTTTGTCTTGCAAAAGTGAGCTTGGAACCAACCAGATATGATTTCCACTACTACCTAATCTCACACAATCTTATTGGTTTTGTCTTCATGTGTCCCTCCTGGAGGAAGTCCTTTACAGATAATCATGGTTTGCAAAACAACGCTTAAGACCATCAAGTCCAACTGTTAACTTAGCACTTCTGTGTTCACTGCTAAACCACATTCCCAAGTGCTGCATATATGTGCCTTTTGAACACTTCCAGGGATGGTGATTTCATCACATCCCTGGGCAGCCTGTTCCAGTGCCTGACTACCCTTTCAATAAAGATATTTTTATGATAATCCTGTGAGCAGATATCCAAAGGAGCATCTCATCAATTGTTTATCATTCTGTTAAAAAAAAAAAAAATCAAACATAAAGTTATGTCTTCAGAGATTGTTCCTACCAAGGACTGGCCCAGCAGTTTGAAAGCCAACTGCAGTGCCCACGTTAAGACAGCAGCACAGTCACAGAGTCCCCTGCACAGCCAAAGCACAAACACCACCAAAAATCAATTTCCCTTGCCTGTGTCATTTCAAAGGAATGCATGTGATCCAGGAGATTCCAAACAACTAAGCATTCCATAATTTGCAATTTCATGGCTGATCTTCCCTTTTTTCTCCTTGTTCCAGTTTTTCTTTCTTAAACAAAAAATACCAGAATAAAATACATCCATTTATAAAGATCTTTGAAACAGACTTTGATGATTACTCTGCCTCATGTTTCAGCTAGAGAGCTTCTATTGAAAAAGCAAATCATTACAGTTAAATAAAAGAGGCAGTAGAACACACATAAAAGAACTAAATACCTGCAGAAGTGTTTAACTGTTAGCTGAGAGTAATATTTAACCAAACCATAAATTTAGTAGTTGAATGCAGCATTTAAGTGAAGACCAGTTTTAGTAACAAAAGTGGTTAAGTGCCTAAATTGTACTGAGATAAAAAGCTCTTACATGAACACAATATGAGCTATTATTCTATGCCTTAAGGAACTGGTTACTTTACAAAGTAGCTTAATGGGAGCTTTAATATTTTGAAATTATTAAGAAGACACAATATAAACCCAGAGCATTACTTAAGTCTTCTGGCATGCCATCTTCCATCAACTTGAAGTGTGATACAGAACTTCAGTTTCTTCAGAACTATTTGCACATGAATTATATCAATACACAACCACAGCTGTCACAACTTCCATGTCTTCTGAAGTACCATAAAGTTTTTGTAAGGTTGAACAACTTGAACAATCCAAATTGCTGCTGTGTACCTATCTGAGAGAGGGAAACCTCTGATGATGTCTTGGGATGTGTTGCTGTCTGGCAGTGAGACAAGGAAGAAAATATGAGGTTTCCTCTCTTCACTTCCCATTGCTAAACCTTGGGTTGCTAATGCATATCCTGCTCAAAGCGTACAGCTAGTAATGTTTGATTGTTAAACATTGCCCAAGGGTTTCAAAGGAAGGTTTTATGCATTTTTGTCACCTCATCTACTATTTTTGAAGCATTAACCTCAACATTTTGAACACTACTTTAATTTGAGGATGGGATTCATTAACCTGAATATGTGAGACACTTGGACATTTACAAACACTGGAACAATGCCTCAACAATTTATTTAAATATGAAATGCAAATTATTTAATGGAGAAAATACTTTTTTAGTATCAAACAATGAAATAAAGTTTTCTACCAAAAGAAAATGACAAGATTTCTGGAAGTCCGTGGAAAAAATAATTTATTGCAATTTCTTTTGCACATTAACATGAAACATTTATACATATACATTTTGTGCTAATAAGATATACTAGATATAGACAATTTTTATAGACAAAGTAATTGCACTATTCTATTTTATAATGCAAATATTCAGAAATGATCAATCAGATAAGAACAGATACTATTCACATAAAAATGCACAATATATTAAAGTTATGGAAGGTCTATGCATCTGAAAACTTGTCCACTTTTACTAACTGTATCTGCTGATGAAACACACTATTTCCCTTTCCAAGCTTCACATCCCTTAATTATGTCATGATGCCCAGAATATTACCAGGTCCTCTCAAGGAATAAAATAAGATCATTTCTGAAACTAGAGAGACCAAATCAAAAGGCAACTGTATCAACCATGTCCCAGCAGCATGCCTTCCAACTCCAGGGGCTATATCAGATGAGAATCAATGCACTACGAGTGGTCTAAAACTGTCCAGCAATCTATTATTAACATGACAATTTAATTTAGTTCACATGAATCAATGAGAAATACATTGCAAGTGAACAGCATTTCAGCAGAAGTACATTGGCACATGCTTCAGATGGCAGTATCAGAAAACAGCTGCCCCCCTTCCAATACAGAAGATGTTTACAGTGTCCACAAAGGGAAAATACAGGATGATAACAAGTGAGAAACCTTTTTCCTAACCAGGAATTTACAGAGCATCAAATGTTATTCACAAAATGAATGAGAACCATGGTAATAGCAGAACTAAATGTGATACCATATATGCAATAATTTCCATAATACTGCTTTAGGTTTTTTTGTAAATACAGTTCCCTAGGTTCACTGTTCTGCCTATCAACTGAAATACCTATCTTTCAAGAAATGTCATCAATTCACATAACCACAGTACTTCAGAGATGAAGATGAAGATGTGAAGCATCAGATTGAAGTGGTTAGTTGTGGCGTGCATACTACATGGTTTCATTCAATATTATCTGGTGGAAGGAATGGTCACACGACTGACATGCAAAAATGCATATCAAAAAAAGGAAAGCTTGAAATACATGCTCATAGCAGAGATATAACAGTATCAAACAATAAGGACAAAAAATTAGCAAGCAATCCTGGAGAAAAATGGTAAGTATGACCTCAGCAGTAGGGCAAAAGACAATGGTATTGCACATGGCAGTGGGAGATACAATGTGAAAGAACATCCATAACATAACCTTACTGCCTGGCACTCTATTTGGAGACAGTATTGCACCCTATTCAGCGTCCTCTTCCTCTTCCCTCAGCTCAGAAAGCATCTTGCTTTGTTTCCTTGAGAGCATGCAAGCAGAATTTGAGAAGTAAGGAATTTTCTTTGAAGCAACAACATGATGGGTTAATGCAGTGACAAAATACATTTTACAACTTGCAACCAGTATCAGTAAATAGTAAAAACTAAAAAAATACCAAAAAGTATAGATAGTGCATGTATTTCTTTCATATGTATTATATGTAGGAATGAAACAATTCCTACATGGCCTGGTGAACTACCAGCTCTGCCTGAGATATTTCAATTTGTTCCCACCAGTAATGTGGGAACAGGGCAGAAGAGAAAGATATTAAAAGCTGGAGAGGGAGTAAAATTGCAGTCATACATCTGAGGCTCTTGGCAAGGTTTATTTTTTACAATAAATCTGTTTCTTGAGAGAGAAATTTCAGCTGAACCTCTGTTAAAATAATGAAGACAGTAATAATTAATTTTATGCAAACAAGCAGATGCAAAGTGAATAATTGGTTACAGTTGTTTTGTTCTACATGCATTTCTGATGCAATTCTACTTACTGCTGTACTGGTATCATGGAACAGATACCAGAAAAAAAAGGTGAAGGAGCAGCACTCCAAACCAACACTTATTCTTGCAAATTAGGTCTTTCTCAGAAGTAACTGCTGCTCATGGGGACTGATACCAGAGATGTCAACCCAGGAATCAAGTTTGAGGCATGCTGAGCTGCTTCAGCCCTAACATTTTCTACGGGCCTAGTAGAGAAACAGCATATTTTTAGCCTTGGTTTCACGTGTCTTATGGCATCTGTAAATATTTTGCCCTTTTTCCTCACCATGTCCTTATTACTGGGCCTCAGAGTAAAATATGCTGATAGATTTGCAAATGCTGAGTAACTCTCCAATGGATATAATGAAAACAAAAATAGATCACTAATGTGCACTGATCCTAGATTGAAGTCATTGGAGACAGAAAACACAGTAAAAGCAAAATTAGCAGAAGTGTCTTCAGGATGATTTAAGAAATATTTTCATGCTTACTTCTACATGCTACTTCTAGCAATATTCTGCAGTAACCTTTCAGGAAGTTTACCATATAGCTTCTGAATATATTTAAATATGCCCTTTTTTATCGTCATGTACAGTCCCCCTGTACTTAACAATAAATGGCACTGCACAAAATAATACATTAGCATTCTGAAAAAAATTCTGGAAAGAAAAACAAGACTACATGTGTGCATAAAGCAAAGTGATTACTTTAAAGTGATCAAACATAACAATTTGGTTATCTGATTTCTGCTTTTGGATTAAAACAATTATGCACAACCTATAAAGTGCCAGAAAAAAACATGAAGAGTACATTCACAGGAGAAATAGTTCAGAAAATCTTAAAGGAATACAATTTTGTGCATTTTTTGTATATGGACAGATGAAATTGTGCAGGCAGTGGAAAAGAATAAAAAAGGTTAGAAGACCATATCCTTTCACTTTTCAAAATCACTTCTGACAAAATGATTATCAGTTCACATCATCACATCAGTGTATTTTTCTATTCCCCTATGCTCCCCAACTTATTACAATTTAGAAGAGATACCTGTCTTGGGTAAAGTCCTTCTGTCTCTAGGAATTACATCTATATCTGAATTTCAGAATTAACAAAAACTAACAAAATTAGAAAGGCTTTTTCAGTGTGCTTGAACTGTGAGTTTTAAATGCTCCTGAAAACCAGGCTCACAATATTTCTCAGTCAGGTTTATTCCTGCCCCCATGTCTCCCTCTACAAAGCTCAATCACTGAATAATAGTATCAGCAAGTGTCTCTCAGGACTGCTGTGAAGATTAACAAAACCAGCTGTTGTACAATATCTCTGAAAGTCTTAAACTACCTGAACCTTATATTCATACTAAACATGTGTTAGGCTGAAACAAGGAAAATACCCATCTGACTCAGTACCTCTCTGAAATTTACATTTAAAATTATAATGTGTCTTGAAACAAATGATAGGACATTTATAAGGCAGAAAAAAGTGAAAGGTGTTTAATTAAAATGTATTTTAAATACAACAATAGATTTGAAATAACGGTAGCTATGTGAAGTTATAGTTATCTTACTGCAGAATAAGAATAGAAAAGTATTCTCAAAAGTGGCACCCAGAATATAATTGTAAGCAATATATATTCAAATACAGAATTAAAATGCAGAGCTAAAGTACAGAGGATTAATACTGGGAGTTACCATTAAAAAGTTAAAATTCATATACTTGGGTACCAGTGGTAATAAATCTGGATTAGATCTCCTAAAACGCCTAAACAGTTTAACACCCTAAATTACACTTTCAGAAATACATGAGCATTCAGACATATACTAATGACTTTCATTATTTGAGTTAAGGGTGTTTTTAAGATTAAATACATAGCAGAAAACTCATTCTTTTTATATTCCTTAGGGGCAAAATTCAAGCTATGTAAATTACTTTTATCTTTTTTTTTTTCTTCTTGTTGACATGTTGGATGGAATTTATGCACCTGCTCAGCTATGGCAAAGCATCTGGCATACTGTAACCTCATTATCTAAGTTTGTGGCACACTTTGAGTCTAGATCTCATTGGCTTTTACTGAAATTCTGGATAATACATGCCTGGAATTCTGAAACTGAGGCATAAGCTTAAAGGTCCCTCAGTGCTTGAAGAGCTTTACCCCACCTCATTTTGAGAATACACCTTAGGCTGATGTGTCATTTACAAGAAGTCGTTTTCACCCTGTGTATCTCTAAAGCAGGACCTCTGTCATGCACCAGTCTCTGAACAAGAAGGTGCCATCTGGGGTTGAGAGACCACCATACACATCACGTGTGAACCTGCTTGCAAATAGCTGCTTGACTGCTGCCTAAATATTTGAAAGCACATTTTTTCACTCACTGCAAGAAAGCAAATGGCAAATTTTGAAGTGCTGATAACCAGACATGTCAGCTAAACAGAAACTGACATTATATTGCAAAATCTAGTACAGTGTAGAAATCTGTAAGAGGGAGATATAAATATTTAAACACTTGGCATTCCCTCAAGGACTTTTTGAAATCAGAAGTACTCTTTCAGGAACTGCACAAACTGCAAAGACAAATAATCAAGGATTTTCAAGTACTGTCAAGATAATAAATGTGTTAATGAAAGAGTGTTGCACAAAACTCTTCCATTTTTTTCTATGGAACATTTAGTTTTGCAAATGTAAATGGATCTCCATGGTTTAGATAAAATTTTTAAAGTTTATGTTTGGAAAAAAACAAAATTACACTCTAGTTACTCATACCTCTGTCTCTGTACTCTTTCTGGACAAAAACCAAACCTGCATTGGCTCTTTTTTGCCCTTCATAGAAACTGGACCTCTGTACTCCAGGTGGAACTGAGGATCTGAATTTTCTGGTGTCATAAGACACCTAAAATTGAAAGAGAAAACAGGTAAATGAATGGACTTTGCATGCATGCCACACACTATGTAAGATATTAAACATGCTACATGTAGGTGAGCAGACTATCAAAAGATTCAAATCTATCTCTACATCATTACTATATGTGCAGACCAATAACTGTATCACAAGGCAGTTTGTCACACAGTTTCATGAGAACTCATGTAATGGTTGCAGGAGGACTGTCACTTTAAACTGCAAAAAAACCTCTATGGTATGCTGGCAAAGTGATATATTTTAAGATGCCAATTCCAATAAAAATAACACATCACTCACCTGTAAGTATATTCAGATACATTGATCTTTCCCTTTTCTCCAGTAGTTTCTGTTCTGCTTGTAAGATTGACTGTATTTCCAAAGAGACAGTACCGTGGCATCCTTTGACCTATGACACCTGTGACTACCTCACCAGTATGGATTCCTATGGTTATCTTTAGAGAGAAAAAAAAATAAGTTTGAATATCCAAAAGTAATGTAACTAATCTGATGCCTCTGACAAAACACAGGCAACATGCCACTTATATCTACTAGAGTTTATTTTTCCTAAGTGCTACTCCTGCTTCTTCAAAGCCTTGCATTTTGTGGGTTTTGTGACTTCGTTGGTTTTTAACTTTGGTACAGTGTCATGCCTCTGCCCTCCACATGAACAATCAAACTCTGTAATTTTCCAGCATGCGCCCTGCCGTTATTATGTACTGTGAAAATAAAAAAAGAGGTGGGCAGAGAGGCATACTCTGCAGGTCTGTGTTTAATGAGTGCTCAGAAGGTGCAGAAAAGGATGGCAGAGCTCAAGAAAAGAGATGTTTCTCATAGGAAAAATAATGGTATTTTGTATTCAGAAGGTCAAGAGATAGGACAGAGTTTTGGAGAAGCTCCTTCTTGTAGCACATTACAGTTACTGTAAAGCCCCAAATCAAACCTTCTCACTGCTTTGCTCCATGATAAAGTGAAGTACACAGCTCTAAGCCAGGTGATAGAGTAGCAACATTAATGTAAACAGAAATATGCATTGCACTTGTTAATCATTTTCTGCTCACAGCCTCCTCATGAGAACAGTCAATGCTGCTTGCCCAGCTCTGTATCAGTGCTACAACATCTCCAGAAAGTCCCACAATGAGTGAAATTCCACTAATATACACTGGTGTCAGTAATCATTGTTGTACATGTCTGTGGAACTGTAATTCTCTTTTTAATGCAATAATGTCTCATTCTGACATGAGGATCTGAGACATGATCAAAAATATCAGGGAGGGAGTACTATTTTTCTGCTTCTTGAGTTGAAGAAGAGTTAACAGATTATACTTGATGCACAATAGGAATTCATTTATTATACTGAAATTATCAGAAACAGCCATAAATTATGTGGACCTAAATGAGTCCTTTACTTTTTAAAGCACAATAAGCATTTTAAGGTCTGGAAACTGCACATATCACAGCTACATGTGACTTCTCATATTATTTGTATACATCAGTCTCAAAATCTAACAAGGCCCATCCCTTGCATGGACTGGGACTAGAGCATTATCTTATTTCAAAACATTATCATGCTGTCAAAGAATGGGTTTTCATTCAAGCCCACATTTACTAACCTGTACAGGCTCACCATCTACTTGAACCTGGCCTGCTATTTCCATCATATCCAAAGCCAGGTGGCAGATAGATCGTGCATGATGCATGCAAGGCTCTGGCAGACCACTCACTGTCATATACTTGTCCCCAACTGTTTCCACCTATCAAGATAGATATTTTTCAATTACTTCATTATTATGGTTTTTAGAGAATTAGAATTGATGTAATTCTTCAAGACTGCTTCTCCTTTAAAGAGTTCCCTTTCCCTTTCATAAAAATCACCCTAATGACTGTCATCTCTGCTTGTTATTGAAGAGAATTTATCATAAACCCACAATGTAGCACTTACAAGGACTGTGATTGTGTAAACCTGAGTCTTTCTTCTTGTGTCTTCTGAATGAAACTGAGCTCTATGTTTGTTCTGGCTCACTCCCTTAATTCACATGGTACAGGACACAAAATTCAGTTCTAGCAAAGCCTAGGAATGAACTTCATAGATATAAACACACAAGATATAAAGAACTTCAAAGATATAAACATACATGGGATGCATATGTATCTATCTCTGTACCTTCCTGCTACCAGCCACATTTGCAATTGCACCTCACTCCTGAAGTGTATGAAGGAATGAAACTCACATTGAGTAACTGAACAGTAAGTTATATAACTTACAACTAGAAGACCCAGGAATAGAATTGAAAAACTTAAAGCATAAGGTCAGAAGAACCACAAATACCTTTTATGAGTTCACATCTGCTAAATGTGAAAGTATATTTATATGTCCACCCTAATGGGTGACTGCAGAAATAATGAGATGAGAACTTAGCATTTTATGTTCCTTCAAACATTCAGAGGTAACCAACATACTCTTCTGTAGCTATCTAATATCAGGTAACACAGTTCAGACTGAGAACATAAGTTTGTTTGTTTTTTTGGTTTTTTTTTTTTTGGAAAAGAATGACACCACAGTAAATTATAGAAAAGTAACAAATTAGATACTTTAAAAATCTTATGCTTACCTTATAAACAAATGGATTCCTTCGTGAATCAGTCAGAATATCAAATCTTGTGTAAAGATCATTTAAAAGATTGACAATTTTCATGGCTCCCTCTCCAGAGGCATGTTTGCTGCAAAAGGCATTGAATCCCACAATGCCACTGAAAAGAATGGTGACGTTGTCGTAGCGCTTGGCTGGAACAGGACGCTTGTGTCTCAGCTCATTTGCCACTGATGGTGGCAGAACAGAGTACAGCAACCTACACCGGTAAGGAAAGAAAGGCAATAGCAAAACAGACAATCTGGAGGAAGGTGTTTACAGCAGCACTCTTCATATATTAACTTCCTACCCCCCACAGGTAGGAAGTACTCCCACCATCAAAAAGCAATAGAAAAGGTGTTTACTGAAGAATATCTGGAAAACAGGAATTGATCTACATCAGCATACCATTTCAAACACATTAATACATCTAAATTATCGACAAAATGAGACATGTATTATTAATTCTTCTGACATGATTTGTTAATAGTGTCTTGGGTCATTTTTACTTCTTTCTGCCACATCCTCAGCTCATATAACACGGTTTTGCTCACAGAACCATAAAAACTGCAAAAAAGACCATGAAGAGATCAAACAGTTTTCCATCTTTGATCAATTCATGCATTTCTAGATGCTTCCTCTCTGTTGAGCATGCTGCTTTCAGGGTCTAGAGTGCCTTTTTTTAATTAATAGTCTATATGATGTATTAACTTGTTCATATTATAAATTATGCAAATAAAATCCAATCACACACACAGAAATCCACCCTATTCTCATGTGTCTTCCTTCAACTTTCTAACTCCTATCTTGAAGTCTATTTCCCTCCTGAAGACCTCTGACTGTTTCACAAATCTTGAACATCATTTTGTACACAGCCTCCTGCACAAACCCTCATTAGTTGCATTTTTGGCAAGTTCACTACTTGAGTTATAATTAGTGAATACTTTTGGCACATCACACAGTAACTGAAACTATCTGTTCCAGCAGCTGCCACGAAGGCTAGAATTCCTGAAGATAAAATGACTTTATAAAGTAAGCCAACAGGAATGAAGAGAAAAAATACTTCTTAGGCTTTATTTTCTCTGGTTCTCCTGTCCATCCCTTTCAAGTATTTTTAAATAAATTTCCATTACTCCATTACAGAAAAAAACTTATCTGTCAATAGAATTAATACAGAGATGGGACTGTGTTTTATAAATAAGAGTCAATCATGAACTCCATGCTACTTTTCACACAAGCTTTTGTTCAATTTGCCAGTCATTCTTGACCTGAAATGCCATAGACTAATGACATTTGAATTTGACTTTATAGTTATCTGTAGTACTGGATTTGGGGCCCAATGCACACTTACTGTTATGTGTTATTTTGATGTACTTTTATCTAGATAAACCCCAATCCATTTCTACTATTACATCAAATTCATAGCATTAAGCTATTGCAAAGTTTCAGCTTTACACAAACTGTTTTCAAGGTTTGTAAGATATGCTTTTCTGTTCTATTATCCTGTGCCAGAAAGACAAAAGTTGGTTTACCGAACTCTGTCAAATAACAGCACTTGGGCATTCATCAAATTCACCTTCGCTACAGTAACTGCATATTAGTTTCCAAAATTTTAGGTAATTCACAAGTGAAAATGAATTGTCAGCTCATTTTTTGTAACTTTTCTTGTCAGGCCCCTAGGGAGCCATCAAAACATCTAGGCATACAATGGCCTAGACTGTGGGTGACATTTGACAATCTAAATAAAGAAATACCCTATTAAATGTTCTTTCTCGACTCCAAAATTACCAGTCCTGATTATATCTGATATTCCTTACAAGATTCTGTTATTCTTTAAAGAAGGTAGCTATAAATAATATATTGCTTTGAGTGTTTCAGCCCAAAATTGGGATTTGGATCTTACGTGTCTGTCTTTTTCTTTTCATCTTCCAGAGCACGCAGTGTGTGCTGCAGTCTGTCAGTGAGGATCTCAAGCTCCTGGGTCAGTTTATATTCCTCTCGGAACTGCTCTCCCAGAAGAACCAGATCACGGGTAGCATCATGCAATGGAATATCACTCAGATATAATCCTCTCCTGGTTAAATCATCCAAGTTCATCACACTGCAAAGCAGAGAAATATACAATAATATGGGTAAAATTAAACTTGCCAAAGGAGCACTTAAAACTCAAATAAACAGAAGTCTGCTGAATAACAGTAGACAGATGAAGCTTCTGAACTTTTGATGAGCTGTACAACATATCCCTTCTAGGAAACACCTAATTTGTGATCATTCATTTTAACCCACAGCTCTTGATTCTTGCGTTTAAATACAGAATTCTCACAAAGAGTTCCAGGAATATATCAAATGTATGTGCTTCAGCACACAAAGTGAAATTATGTAAAGAATCTTTCTATTGCATCCTCCATTCCGACCACTTCCTCATCACCAATCTATTACACTAAAACTACTGCAAAAATACATAAATCCACATAGAAAACCAAATCATTGTCACATTTCTTAGCCCTCTCTGAGTAAAAAACGAAAGATAAAACTTGCTAAAAAATGGATTATGAGGAATAACCACTTGTACAAACTGGGCCAGATCAAGCCAATATTTATATTGAGTATTTAATACTCAGTCAAGTTCCAATGTTTAAATGCTCCTACCTCTTTTCGTATAAACACATCAAAACCAATTAAATCCATATTCAAACCAATTAGTCTCTGCAGTACTACTCTCATAAGTGTTCTTAAAATTAGTAACTGTAAAATGAAAATCAATATTATAGAACTCCCTAGGTTTGAAGTACCTTGGTGAACAAAGAAAGAGAATGCTGTCTGCTTCAGGCAAGTAGATCATTTGCCCTTTCAGGCGTAAGCAGCTGATTTCTGTGCCAGTCAGTTCATCTTCACACTCCAACTTTTCCACATCCAACAGCCCCTCCTGGTGATGAAAAGCCACCACTGTGTGAGGGCAATGGTGTGTTATGCACCAGGCCTAGTATGTAAGTGCATTCACTACAAAGGCAGTCAGAATATTTGGAATAGACGTACAGCTTACATTAAACCCTGATTAATTTCTCATTTGAACACCATGCACTGTCTGTATTTTAATACTACCTTTGAATTTCCTACCTTGAAGACACAAAGCATGGTATCTTTCTTTACATTCATGTTTATAACTTCTTGTTTACTTCCACCTTGCTTCTTAACAATAGTTTTGATAATAGTATTGCCCGTTCTGTGAAGTTCTATCTGTGCCTGGGACCATCTCTAAGAAATCATCTGGTTTCTCTCAGGTACAGTTTTCTTTAAATAAACAGGCTCCTTGATGTAGTAGGTGTTACTCTACACACTGAATCTGTTCGTATCACCTGCCTTGTCTCCTGCCCTCTTTAGACAACAGGACACAGACCTTTGTATGAATATATGAGCCCAAGCAAGAACACATTCCATATTTGTCTCTCACACTTATAAAGTAAGGTAAATGTAATTACATCTCTACATTTGCTTTGAAACAACACCATAAACTAGTCTGGCCCCTTGCAGAGAAAGCATCAGTGCTTTTACTTCATCATTCCTATAAAACATTCTGCTTAACAGCTACTCACAAATTCACACCTGTGACTCTTGCTTGGCTCAAGACTCAAAAGGGTCTGAGCATACTACAGAGAATTTTCTCTGAAGCTTTCTGCACTTCTTATCTCTCCAAAGCACACTTCCTTAAAGAAAAACTGGAAAATATTCTCTAGTTACCTTAGTCCTCAGTACGAAGACTGTATTGATATGGGAGAGGATCCCATGGAAGCTAATATCAATATGAGGCCGGACCAAGGAGAAAACTGACAGCAGACTGCAATTTCCTGGCTGCAGCTAGAATATTAAAAAACAAAAAAGAAAAAAAAAACAACTGTTATGCTTTATAATAAAAATATACACAGAGCAATTATATTCCACTATCTTAGATGACAATATTGAATAGAAGAGAATATATACTTTATGCATATCTCCACTGAATCACAAGGTTTTTGAACTATTCTCTTACTGCATATAGACATGACCATAAGGAACAAAGCTGTTGTAGAATTAGGTTATTTTCAAGTTATTTTCCTAACAATAGAAGCACAATTTAGTAAATATTATACACTTGCACTGGAATGCTCTTAAGACAGAGAATCCTAAATCTGTTTTATTCATCTTTATAATTAACCTGTGAAGCATCTATCAATATGAATTTTCTATGGCTATCCATGCATAAGAGTCATCTCACCTGTGGAAGGACTCTGTATATAGCATTGCCACATTGTGTGACCACCAGGTCTCTGTCAAATATGATGTGGAAAGGAAATGCCTTGCAGAAAGTGTAGGGACTGATGCGAGACTCTTGGGTACCATTTTCTTCAAATCTGTCAAGGTCCTCATAGTAGTCCTCTTCTTTAGATTCTTTTTCTTCAATTAAAAATTGAATGTGGTCACACTCCTCATTTCTCTGTTGAATAACCTACAGAAATGAAGAAAAAAGGAAAACCTGAAACCTCTGCTACTCATTAGTAACTGGAGTGCTACTATGGAGACAGGAATGCATTTAAAGGAGAAAGATAAATTCAAGAATTATATTCACAACTTGAAAAATACCGGATTCTAATAAGAATTTCTGATTTCATAGTCTTTGTAATTACAGGTGAATAATTATGCCTTTGCTTAGCCACAGTTGCTCTCTGCAAGAGCAACATATTGAAGATCACCCAAATACAATTTATTAAGCCTGAATGAAATGCAAATCCTGAAATGAGGGGTCAAGGCTGAGGTTGTGCTTGCTTTTTTTCTTGCCAGAAATAGGGTGGCCCCTTCCCCTGAAATGAACCTGTGTGAGCTTGGAATCCCACAGAACCCTTGAATCCTTATTTTGATCAAAGCTGTTCGCAAGGTCTATAACAACAGCAAATAGTGCTGACTGTTTAGTGATGACTAAACAGTGCTGAAAGGGTGGGCATGTCTCTGACAGCAAGAAGGAAAGTGCATGGAGCACATTTTAGGATATACAGTCCTTATACATTCCAGCAGACTGCAAGATCAGAGCCAAAAGACAAAACTGAAAGCAATCTCCTCTGGGCTATATTCCGTATTAAAGGAAATGACAGCAAAACCAGAATCATCTGCATCAGGGGAATATCAAAAAGGTGTCCTTAACACACCATTACACTCTTCAGTAATTTTACTCAAAGTTAGTAAAAAATATGAAATTAATAGGGGTTATTTTGTTTGCAGCGAGAGTCGTGTATGGCAATATAATTTAAGCTAATAACTAATAAGCAGAATAACATCATTTACCATGAGAAGGCAAATTCAGTTCTTTTCAAATTTAATTAGACTTAATGATTGGAAAAGAACAATTCTATTTACATGGTATTGTTTAGCAGCGATTTTCTGGAACATGTTCCACCTGACTCTACTTTCATATTGACTCTGATCCTAAAGTCACTGAAACAAAAAAAAAAAAAAGATTTCTTAAAATTTCTAAAGCATCCTGATTTCGCCCTTTACATGTAGTCTTAACAGAGATTAACAATTACAATTTGAAAACAGAACAGATATGCACAAACACTGCAACTGATCCCTAAAATGTTAAGTTTATTAAATATTTGATCTCCAAAACTGCCAAAAATAGTACTTGATGGGCTAGGGAGTGCTGATGCCTTTATTTGCTTCTAAACAAATGAAGGAGTGTAAAACAACAAAACAGTATTTTATTGTTAAATGATTATTAATTTAAGGTGGCATTGTTCTTTGATCTACAAATTGCTCATTTCAAGAAAGAGAGGCTTTTCTGGAGGACAGTCTAGAGGAAGAGCCCAATTTAGGTGCTCTGTAGCTGTGTGCTGCATTATTCTCCTCTTTCTATTGCTTATGTAAGTAACTTAGAGAAAGATCAGCCTACTAAATTTACCAGCTAATGTAGGTACCCAAAGCTGGATGAACAAATAAATTCAAATGTTGATGATGAGATAAGCTAACTGCCTCAAAAACTGTACTGGTAATCCACATGCCAGAGTATGACAAAGGTAAGTGGGCAATTATGACCTAATAAGGGGTAAGCCTCAGAAAAAATAAATGGTGGTCATCTGAGGGAAACACATTAAATGGGTTTGTCTAGGAGAATGGAACATGGTAGATGAACACCTAGCTTTCCTCTGAATTCAGAATTTAAAGGTTTTCCACATCTTTCTTTAAATCATTATCCCTGAAATTGTGAGAGACTGTGGTAATATTGAAGATTATCAGAAGATAGTCAAGAGTCTTAGTTCTTACTTTCTATCATTCATGCACACTCCCACAGGTTTTATTTTAACAGTACCATTATTGTGGCCAGAGACATCTGAGATTATGCACAGAAATCTTTTTCAAATTGTGAAGATTTATCTCTAGGACTGATATGTGCTTCTAGATTATTTCCAGTCTTGGATCTTACTTTAAAGTGATGATCTTGCCACAAATGGAAAAAAAAACCTGCATATTTTGGATGAAAACCTTCTTAATTCAGCGAAGCTGATTTTAAATAAGCTAATAATTTTTAAGAAAATGTTCATATTAACAACACATCACCTTCCAGATATATTATCTCCTTACAGCTATCTTACGCACTGCACACTAGTATTCTGTTACCAACTTACAGACTTTTTCCTGCTACAATGCAGCATTTAACAGGTTGCTTTTTGTAAAATTTCATTTATTATAAATGAATGATGCATCAGTAAACAAAACTCAGGCTTAGATTAAGAAAACTATCTATAAAAATAGAACTGCTACATGCTTCAAGACTCTAGCTAGTTTGAGCCATGACCCTCTGCAAGCTCACACAGTGACAAAGTCAGTCCTCACACATGCTGTGCTATTTTCCTAACCTTTACAGATTAGAACTGTGCCAGTAAATGTGAAAAGCTGAAAATTTCCCGAGCATCTTCAAGTTCATTTGAAACACTATTTTTGACCAGACTCCAGGGCATCTAGAAATGCTTGCTGTATTAGTGCAACATGCCAGTGCAGCAAATGAACACCAGGCCAAACACATGGACATGTGTCAGACCGACAAGACAGACACAGTGCCAGCAGCACATTCCTGGTAAACATGATATGCTGTGGACATGGCTGGTTTATGCAATTTTATTCTGATCATCCATGCACAGACACTTATTAACAGATGCTTTAATCACACCCCTCTCCAGGCTATGAAATCTACTGATGCATCCCTAATTAACTTCCCAATGGATATACAATTTCATGATGCCTTTTCTGCTCACACAACTTATGAACTATCTAATCTTCCTATCTCATTACATCATCCGCCTTGTCAGCAAATTTAAAATAAGCACTTTTGACTGTTAAGATGTTAAATTCTGTTCCTTCAACCTTGCACCTATAGATCCAACCTAACTGGCCAGATATTTGTCTGGCATAAGGACCTGCCCTAGATACTCTGCTAAGCTTAAGTAGAATAGAACTTATCTACTGTTTCATTCTGCAAGCAAAGTTTGCAAGCCACACAATTTCAGTATCATTTAAATATTGTTGAAGAAGCCTCTGATAAATGCTTGACAAATCAAAGTTCAGTCACAAAGCAACAAAGCCAGCAATCAAGTCTAATTCTTCCTCCCCCTGCAGTCTTTGCTGGTGAAGTGACATCAGTTCACAATGTCTAAGAGCTCAATCACCATAGCAACTGCAGTTAAAACTGAAGGGAGAAATCACTCTCTTGGTTTCAAAGAGAATATACAAAATTAACCTGCCTGTGCCTTCCAGGAGACGTAGCTTCAGAGTTTGTCCTTGCCTAATCAAATGAAAAGTCACACCAATATTTCAGGGAATGATAATTCAGAGAAGTTATTTCAAAATGAGTGTGGTTTAATGTGTTTGGCGAGCTTCACACAAGATATTAAATCAAGAAGTATTTCTGTGATACAGAATATATAATGAGCACATGCTATCTGTTAAGCTGTCACCATGTGTCTACAAGACTCAATTCTGTAGATGTGAGCATATCCCCAGGACACATTCATATTTCAGCATGGCAGGATAGAATGTCCTTAGACAGGGCTCTTTTTTGATGAGATTGTGAAAATTAATACAAAACCAGGGGGTTTTGCCCTTTAAAGACCAATACAGCATGAAATTTTTGATCTCTTCTGATCAAAACTGACTGTGCAATGCTGCTTAACAAAGTTCACTGTAGCTGCTTCAGAATGATCCCAAGACAAAGGAGTTCACTGCGGAAATGGCAGCGGAAAACTTTCAGTTTTGCATACCCAAAGACAGAACCATGGGGATATCTGTCCCTGGCAGCTGGCTTCAGAGCAGACTGTCTCACTTCACCAAACCACTGTGCCTGGAGATAATGAAGTTTACAGCTGCCCCAGTGCCAAAATTAGAGACTGATCATGCTCCATGACCGACTTATCTTCACACACAGTTAGCATTGTAATGTGTGGACCAGTACTGCTTGTCTTCCGTGACAAGTACCCAAGTAGTTTTTAGATCAGCTCTCCAGCTGGTCACATCTTCACTTTGTTTTTTCATACTGCCATTAGTAAGCCTGAAATTACCACCTTGTCAAGGACTTCCCCTGTTCTTTTCTAATTTTTCATTGTAAAACATCTTCCCTACGTAAAAGATTTTGATAGTCTGCTCTCAAATAACAGAACTGTAGAAGTCTGCTCTCCCAACAGATTTTTGGTCTGGATTTTTGCTGGATTATGTACAAACACTCTCTGTTGACCCATACCATTAGTAGCCTTGAGGGAATCCCTGTCTTGCCTTCACCTTCACAGGTCACCCTCTTTTATATACAAACCTCTGACAAGTGAAGCAAGAGAAAGCATAGCCAGTAGGCTGCTAACAGAGATCTCATGACAAAGTTTGTCACCAGCATTGTGACATTGCTTTTTTAGTTCTCATACTGAGACTGGCAGAACATGAACATTCTTAGTGCATACAAAAAGTCAGCAACAATTTCTGAGACAATACCTGCTGCAAAAATTATTTAGTCTTAGCTCTATTTGCTAAAAATGGATTACCATATCAGAGAAGATAACACAAATTGGATTTGAATTAATCAATCAGTTAATGTCAACTTGGGCTTTCCTGAACTATTCAACTGGAATTTTGAATCCAAGTTCAAAACAAATTGGTTTCCTCTCAGTGCTAACAACATCTAACAGCATCAAAATTACACTTCCCACCCAAACTTGTCTCCCCTTTCCTTCTGCACACACATACTCTAGGTGTTAAAAGAGAATGAATACTTCCTGAAGGACACCATTCTGTAAAAAAGGAAACGCTGCTTTATTTCAGAAGAAGATGTATGGTTTCAGACACACAGACGCACACACACAGAGATATATATACATATATATATGCACACAAAATTGTTCTGAGACTGAAGAAAGGTGACAAAATTAAAACTTTTTTTCTATTCAGCTATTTTTCCACCAAAAGAAACAATGTGAGACAAAACAAGAACAATATTTCTTTATATTTAGTTTTAGTTTCCTCTTGTGATCACTAGCTGGTTTTCTCTGCAGGTTGAGGAAGGTGATCCTTCCCCTCTCCTCAGCACTGGAAAGACCACACCTGGAGTGCTGTGTCCAGCTGTGGGCTCCTCAGTGCAAGAGAGATACAGAGCTACAAGACAGAGTCCACTCCCTCTGTGGAGAGCTGCTAAGATGATCAAGGCACTGGAGCATCTCTCAGAAGAGGAAAGGCTGAGACAGTCAGCACTGCTCAGCCTGGAGAACAGATGGCTCAGCAGGATCTCATCCATGCACACAAATACCTGAAGGGAGGGTGAAGAGAGGATGGAGCCAGGCTCTCTTCAGTGGTGTCCTGTGCCCAGAGAAGAGGCAATGGGCACAAACTGAAACACAGAACATGTTGTCTGGACATCAAGAAATACTTTTTTACTATGAGAAAGATGGAGCACTGGCACCTGCTCAAAGCATTTTCAGAGTCTCCATCCCTAGAGATAGCTGAAAGATGTCTGAGCATGGCCCAGAACAACTGGCCCTAGGTAGGCAGGCATGAGCAGGTGAGGTTGAACAAAATGACCTCCAGAAGTTCCTTCCAACCTCAGCCATTCTGTAATCCATGAAACAAAATCTAGCCACTTAATGAAACAAAACCAGCATTATCAAAACAATTAATCTCTGCTACCACCTATACAGAGACTTGTAATATATTAGATAAATTCAACCAAAGTTTCATGAAAATACAGAATTAGAAGCATGTATTCTCTCAAGCAGATTTATACAAGCATTTGTTCAAAACAGATGGAGTACACATTGCATCAAATTGCAGATATAAACATTATACTAATATAAAGAGAACTGCAGGACTTACTAAGTCAGTCCTGTGTTTAACTGTCATGTAAGTGGTTTGGATAAAGAAATTTGAAAGACAAATCAGAATCTCTTTTTGCAAGTCAGAAAACAACTCCTGTAATAACACTGGAAACTTTGAGCTAAGCACTGAGGTTTTTATCAGATTAAAAAAAAAACCAAAAAACATTCTTCCTTAAGCAAAATTCTAACTGAGGTTCAAACCAAAAATTTTACAGTAGCGGCACTGATTGGTCCACAAAACCTGAAAGAATTAAAAGCAATTCCACTGTTTTCCTGTGCTGTGCTGTTTCAAACAATGCATTGCTAACAGACTAAAACACAAAAGCACTGATTCACTAAATTAAGAGGCAAAGAATGGAGATGAAAGAAGTTGGTCTATTTTTTCTTCTATTTGCAATATTTTGAGCAGTAAAGCTACCTAGTTATAACAATGCCGGACTTTACTTTAAAACCTTCACTCCATACCATTCGTGATTAATATCTGACCTGTGGAGGAATGGAGGAAGACTTTCAGTGTCTGTGGATAAGCTGCAAATTTCAGCTTTTTTTCATTTTTAGAGAATAAATTCTCTCCTTATCTACCACTGAAATTTCTGAGTACCTGTGGAATACAGCAGTGTGTAATGTTTTAGAGATGTCAAGATATAGGCTTTATTAAGCAGGAGAGACATGAAAAACTTCAGGGTTAAGGGTACATGACTTTCTAACAGGGAAAAGGTTAACACTGGGGTAACAGACAAAATAAGACAATATACACTTTCTTCAGTTTAGAGGTCAATATTATTTTTTAGGCACCTATGTGCTTCTACCTCAGACAGTCTAGAAGAATAGTGTAGATTTAAATTAGACTTTGCATTCATTTAGGTTTGACTAATACTATTAAGTATCTACTTACATACAGTAGAACTGTAAAATTTCCAGAAAAGCCTAAAACAGTCAAATTAAAATAAGAAGTAAATACATTATAAATATTTAAACCTCCTTATAACATATATTATTTGTGAGAAGTTCTAGATGGATATTAATACAATTTTCTCAGCAATGTAACCTTCAGATTGAGAGGGCAGTTTATGAAAAGTTTGTACTGCTATCTGCTTTGGACAACCCAGACTTCTCATCTGCTCTGTGGAACACTTTTGCCTCTGTGTGGACCTCTGAGAGACAGAACACCAAACCATGTAAAGGAACATAGGAAGATTAAACCACCATAAAAAACCCCCCAACCCTGTTGTTTTGAACCCAGTTCACTTCCTCAGTATAGTTTATTTTATAACTTGACACCACCTGGAAGGCAGAGCTGAAGAACCTGCTGAAGGACAAACCTGAGCATTGAGAGAACAGGGACTGCTTAAGCTGCTACCAAAAGGAATACTTGCCAAGCAACAGCTTCAGCACTTTTGCAGCCAACTTTCCAACACGGTCCTCCTTGTCTGTCTCAACACCTCACATAAACAGGGATCTAAAAAGAGGATTGTTTTGATTGTGTTGTATCCTTCTGTATCTGAATACTAACACCTGCTGCAAAAGTTTGAACTGTGGTTTTCTACAAAATAGAATGTAAACAAGGACACAAGCATATCACCACACTATACACAACTAGACATCTACTATAAACCTGAGCTAGCTTAGAACAGGAAACCTAAATGGCAAATACTCCAATTCAGCAGTAAAAATATCTTTGTGACTGGATTGCTTGCAAATCTCTTACCTGAGCAAGATCATGTTTTTGTGATAAAATAAAGAAAGCATTTCCTCAGCAAGCATAGAATGAAACCATGCTAGAAATGTAGTATGAATAGGGAATATTTCAAAAACCCAAAGAATGATTACTGTATCTGCTTAGATTCTTTTCTACTTGACGAAAAAAATTTTATGTTAGTTGCAATATTTCTAATAGAAAAAAGCTTTCATTTTTTGTTTCTCTCCCCACACCTTAGACCAAACTCTGATTTTATACTATTACATATACAAGACCTGATCAATTAAATCTTTATGTAGCTCTGTATGAGCAAAGAAGTCTCTTTCCCATTTCACAAGCGACTGAGCAATCATGTCTTTACATAAACTCTGTCACTGAGGAACATTCTTATCACATTCATTCATTCACTGAGGAACTTCTGGGGCTCTAGGTGCCAATCACACTTCCATGCAATGACAGCAAGAAACCCACAAACAGATCTTATTTCTGAGATGAACCTGGCGTGCTGGCTGGGAGGAAAACAGCGCTTGCTGCCCAGGCCTCATCAATGCACATCAGCCACACAATCTGCACAGAGATGAAGAATACAGGACAAAGAGGAAATGCCTGTGTTCTCAGGGAACACAGTAGACAGTAAGAGATATATGTCAAACATAAAATAAAGGGGGGAAAAAGCACCCCAAATGAGCCAGTATAAATTTCTTTACATGTGCTCTTTACAATTCTTTTCTGAATAAGGGGATATTGTTCTGTACTGTTCCCAGTCAGGTCTGCTGCCAATTAGAGCTGACCTTCTCAGCACATGGCTGTGTCCTTCAAGCAACGCAAATTATCATGGCTCTTCCTGAGAGCCAGTACTGATGCCACTTCTTCACAGAAGACAGCAACAGTGAAAATTACTGTTTGCCATCACTTCACTTTTGATTTTCTTGGTTTTTTTCTACTGACATAAATTTTCAATGAGTATATTACTTCAGACATTACCTTCATGTCTATTTCTGTACCATGGATCTGTTGAGCTACTGTTTTGATGATGCCAATGACAATATCCTGCAGACCTTCTCTTTCTGAATAGTAATGCAGAATGAGTCCCTTTCCCTTCTCTGCATCAGTGCATCTGAAGGAAGGGGCTCGCATACCCGGGTAAATAGTAGCGAGGTGGTCATGCAAAGCATCCAGATTCTGGAAGAAGAAATTAAAAACATTATTATAAGGCATTCACTTACAATTTATGAAGAAAGTAAGCACATATTTTGTCTAATCTGAACACCCCCTTTCTCTTACTGCTCATACTTCTACACATTTGCCTTATTTTCTGTAGAACTGCCATCACAGCAGGTTGTTCAGGTAGCCTGAAATGTTCTATCTACCACGGCAACATCTGAACAATGAATGGCATACAAATAAGGACTATTATAAATTACTCCAGATAGTAAGAAGTCGTGCTTGATTATGCTGTATTTTGAAACACTCAGATGATTAAAGACCTTCTGTGTGCTTCTCAGTCTGGTACCACAGCCAGTTTCATTCCTTCCAATTACAGTCCCTATAATCTCCTCTTCAAATATTAATTCAGGAGCCAAATACAAATAAGCATGTCTGAATAAACATAAATCTTTGTCCTTACTATCAGTGAAAAAGCCTAGTTCTGACAACATAAAGTTTACAGGGCCTGACAAAGTTCAAATTTTTAAAGATTTAAATGCTTGAAAGACCAAACTCAAATATATCTTTTCTTTTGACAATAACTGAAAAAACCCACAAAATAAACAGAAGTAGCACAGCTGCTATAATAATTTATCAGAAACAGTTGTTCAAGAAAGGGAAGAGATCTTTTTTAACTTTAAATTTTAACCAGACAAATTGTGATCTGGACAGGTAAGCTGAATTATAAACTGACAGGCTTAAAGAGAACAGTGAGATCAAAATCACACTTAAAACAAAACAGTAGATTCAACTTTGATTGTGAAGCAATTATCAAGGATCCAAGTTGCTATTTACTGCAAATTTAACACAGAAGGAGAAACCTAGTTTGCAGGATAGACTTGCAAGCCACAATTTTTTATTTATGCTGTAAAATTCATATAACGCCTTACATCTTAAGTCCAGAACATTACTGCATGTTTTAAATGTTGTTCTCTCACTGCCCTGCAAGTGACTGCTACCACCAGGCTTGGCATATTGTTTACTGCCAACATAGGAAGTGAAGTGAAAATATTTTCAGTGTGCTGTCTGGGAAAATCTCCACCTTTCATGAGCATCTGTCGATCATCAGATCTGTGCACGCATATTGAACTTGATTTCATGTGAGCTGTGAAGTGCTTGAACAGCTGCCTTTTCTCTTGGAGACCTCCAGACAAAATGACACTCTTAGCAATGAATTCCGTGGGATGCACTTAGCCTGGAATTTCCTCCTTCAGTTTTTCAGCTTGTTTCCAATTCATGTTTTTGTTGCTATATCAACATCTCCAAATTAGAACATGAAGAGGCAACAATCTGGGTGTCAATTCATTCCAGCTGTTAGTGGGCATTGACAAAAAAAACCGTAATGCTAGAAGGCAAATTCTGTAAGAACTTTGCAGGGTTCAAGACAATGAAATTAGAGGAGACTGCTTTGAAAGAGTGTGGATGAGAAAAGAGCAAGAGAGATGACTGCCTCAGAAAGATTGCCCCACCATCTCCTTCAATGGATGCAGAACTGCAGTTTCAGTAGATATGCCTCAGAAACAGCTGGGATATATTGACCTTTTGGAGAAAAACTCTCAGGGAGATACATGGGAAAAGATTATCATCTTTCAGTCACACAGTCACCAGCTGAAAAATTTCAAACAGGGAACAGCCAATGTCAAGGACAGAATTTTTGTAAAATGGTTGTCTAAGTATTAACATTTAAGTCTGGCACAATGGTGACTACCAACTGGTGGTAGCCCCATTCTGCAAAACCACTTTGGCACCGTTCCACTCCTTTATGGCCAACTCTGTCAAAGTAGTGTCACAGGTGAAGTCCATGTGATATGTCCTTCAGCTTTTACTCTCTAATCTTCCAGAATGGGGGACTTACAGCTCACTGTATTCAAAACCTCACTCTGACACATAGTCAAGGAGTAGACATGTTTTTTCCAGATCATGGAGCTGAAATCACTCCTAGGCCTAGACACTGTCACTGTTACTCCTACTCCTATTTCTTTGTTGTGTTCAATCCATTCCAAATTGATATTGCAGATTCTGAAAGAACGAATGTTTTTTTTTTCTTGTATGTTCACCTGCTGTGAGCCAGAGGTGAGGTCAGGTACAGTTTGTCATAGGCTAAGTTCTTTCCCTGAATTCTTGGCTCCTAGACTGCTCAGATGTATGCCAGAGCTTGTGCTGGGACCAAAGAATTATTCCAGAGCTATGAGGAACAGTGATCAGCTCCATGGAGAAACACAAGAGAATCTCCTTGAAATAACAAGCAGTCTTAAAGTCTGTCCTTAAATGGGGCTGATCCTGGTCTGTCTAAAAGTGAGAGTTGTGGTTGGCACCTGAAATACAAACATATGTACCACAAACAGTGCTATGTGGTACACAGCACCTGGAGACTTATCTAAAAGAGGAGTTAATCCCCTGAATTTTAATGCACTGCAAGTATGAAAGTCTAAATAGCAATGTAAACAATTCCTTAAATGAGAGAACTAACCACTTTGATTTTCATTCAATAGAAAGCTACTAAACTGAACATAAAAGCACACTTTGGGTTTCTTAGGAGGTACCTCTTTTCACATTCCTTCTCTTTGGTACAGTGTCTTTCAACATGATTTGCAAATTTTCCACGCTTGAGTTTTTCACGTAAAGTATAAATATTTGATTTAGTTGCCCTTTTTATTTTCCTCTTTCATGAAGCTTGAAGTACCTGTGTTTCAACTATGAATAAACTAAATTTTCTTGAGATGTCAAAGGAAATGGAATATAAATGTGAGATTCATTTTTATATATTTTAAAAAGCTGCAGTTCTCAAATATTTTGGATATATCCTGTACTCAGTATACATCTCAAGAAGCACCTTTTGGAACTCTGTTATGTTAAGAATCTGAGAGAAGTTTGGGACATTAAACCAAATCTGCACCTATTTTTGTAACATGTATATAAAGTAGTTTCCTGACCTAATATGACTGCTGCAAGATGCAAAACTAATAAATAACAGGTAATGTTGATTTTCCATTGCAATAAAAAGCTTAAAAGTACTCTTCTGGCACAGCTACTAATATGTTAGTCCTGTTAACATTTAGAGAAGTATATAATAGCCAATGTCGTCTGTTAACACTAAAATTCAAACAAAGCAACTTAAAATACTGCCCTTAGAAGAATATAAATGTAAGCTGTTTCCACTTTTATAATGTTTTGTCTGTATAACAAACATGTCCAGTCCTTCCACCAGCACATGTGGTAAGGAAGGAAAAGAGAAGTATATTATATAGAAAAGGGCATGAGGGAAAGCAAATAGAAACTGTATTTCGGGCCCATACATGAGTAACCAAAGTTACTCCTGTATAAAACCAAAGTATCTGAAGGCTTGCTTTGAGAGCAGGCTGTGAATGAAGCTATGGAATATAAAGGGTGGCACATCACATAGTGGTTTACAGATTGCTCATGATAGGCACATGTTGGAACATCCACATACCCTGTTCTGCCCAGCAACTACACCTTGTGGGATTTGTACACGAAGTCTGGGTTGACTGTATCTACGATGCTCTGGAATGATGCAGGTTTTGGGGCAGCAAGACACCTAAGTAAATACTCAACTAATCTAGCAAACCATGATTCTGCTTTTTCCCTTAATGCTGGAGAAATTTTAAGGGTATAGATGACAAGAGGCTGCTATATATTCAGAGAAAATAAAAAGTTTTCATAGTCAGGTTTTGGGCACTCTCCAGTTCAATTCTTTTAACCTCATTACAGTACACAGTTCTCTCCAAGAGTGATGTAGATCACAAATCTTAAATACAAAGTGCTTACAGAAGTGAGCAATTTTCAGGTGACAAAAAAGGACATTTTTCTACACCTAGAAATAACACTCTAGAGAAGACCCTACATTTCTTCCATGCTGTTAAAGAATCATTTTCATTTTGTTTGTGCTTATAGTGCAGTATCATGCTATTCTGCAGTATCCCACCCTCAGCTCATGGATGAAGGATAACATCTTAAGAGATAAGCTGCTATGATCCCTACCTCTGTACATAACTATTAGAAATATCCAATAGCTATAATTAGTCAGAGATAATAGAAAAATATCATAAAACCTGAAGATCACATTTTCTGTTATGATAAATAAGGTAAGTCCACTTAACACAGACCACTCCTGCAATCTGTTGCATATGAATACTCCTGTTCCAAATTTCTCTTTGGAATTTAAAATTAAACTTCTGTTGACTAGGCCACAATTCTGTCTGATATCTGGAACAATTTTGCACAAAATTCTTACCTGCAAAAACTCTCTGACATTTGAGCCCAAGACACGTAGAATTGTATCATAACCAGATTCTTGACAAAACACAAAAAACATCTTCCCAAACATTTGAAGAATTTCCCCAGCATTTAAATCTAGTTAAAACAGGAAAATATGATTCAGTCCAAACACTGTATTTCATGCACTTACTTATTTCCTTACTCTTGTACTCATAAACAAGAAAGATAGTACCTAAACACTACCCAGATCCAGTAGGTCAAGAACAAAGCAAGATTCAGGGCTCATATGGCAAATAGAGAGTATTCAATGCAGGAATTTCATTAAGATTTACCAATTACTACTATTATTTCACCACATTTTGCATTTCACACATGTATAGCATTCAGATTTTGATACAGAAAAATGAATCACTTCTTGAAAATAGAGGAACTTGGTTGTTAGTAGTGCTCGCCTCAGCAGAGTTAATTCCAATTTACAATAGCATGAAACCACATCAGCTGCTCCAATTCAACATTACTACAGTCATCAGTCTTATAGATTTTTGGCTAATTACTGATGCAGAACAATTTCATACCGCACTTGGGTCTGCAGATAAAATAATGCTGATGGGCATAATTCTACCTTTTAAATTCCAGACCAGAGCTGCAATGATTGAAAATGAATGCAACCCAAATCAATGGCTGATATGCAATTAAATGAAATGTGTCCATGCCACAAGCATTTCTGTGACTCAGCACTGTTCTTCAGCAGAGATCAAGGATTCATCCATTCATTTATTCATTCATTTATTCATTCACTGCTCTTGCAGCAGTGGTTAAAACTTGCAGTTGCAGCAGGATGTTGTTACTTCACGACTGCTTGTTACACTGCTCATGTTGTGTGGATGAGGTATATTTCTTCAGTTTAAGATGGAATACTTTGGAAATAATAAAAATCATTTCAAGCAATAAAAGAAGTAATTTTTTCTTAGAGAAATAAAGGCAATTCTCTCTCCTAAGATTTAAAAAAATTCTCTAACCAATACTCCGTTTTCACTTCCCCTGTGCTAAATCCTGTTCCTCTCTGCTGCACAGATTTGGGGGGCAGGAGGACGTGACCTTTTTTGTGATGAATGGGTAAAGAAGATATCTGCATTACTTACTAAGGACCTTGCTCGCAGCTGCAACAAGGTCATAGGTTTTGGAATCATCGTAAATTATTCTGACCAGAAACTGTCCCTCTTCATCCAGCTGAGCCTCCTTCCTAAAAAGAAAATAGAATAAAATATTTTTGCTTGAGGAAAAAGCACCATATGGATAAAAGTCTTTTAAAACAAATAAGTTTGTATAGTTATTTAAGACAGAAAATTAGAAATAAATGTGTTCCATATCAAAGTCATTAGTGTACAATACAAATATTTCAGACCACAAGTGTTCTGAAAATAATAATTAGCTACAAGAAAATAAACATGATTTTTCAGTACAGAGGCTCAAAAATAAGTTGCTATGCTAATAAAGACACAATTTGCATTTTAAAATAAAAGACTACCCAATAATGCAGCCCATGATGGGATCTTCAAACACTTTTTGTTTTTTCATTCCATCACATTTTAATTACACTGTATTTACAAAAGGCATGGGATGTTTCTAACAACCATTTGCACATATGTCCAAAGAGGAATTTAAAATACAGATGCAGGTACCAAATCAAGTATCTTTTTTCAGAACTGTGCACATGCCAAGCAGATAGGAAGAAAAAGGATGCTAAGATTTTGCAAGGCCTTGTTCTCACATTGCACATTGATTCTCATGTGGAAAGTGTCACCACTTAGCTAAAGCACAATAAAAATATACAGTTCTTCACTAAAGGAAACAACTCTACCCCAGGTTTAAGACAAGATATATATGTCCTGTGCACACTTACACTAAGTAAAAACCAAAACAAAATGACTGCTTTGTTTTTCGGGTCCTTTACTGTTCTCTTCAACTTGAACATCAAGTCAGCACCTTGTCCAAAAGGCAGCACAAATCTGTAGGCTCTTTTTTTTCACTGAGGAAAACAAGTTGATCCCCCAGACAATGAAGGAACTGTCGTGCCTTCCAAGCTTTGCATTCGGCACAGGTGAGTTACTAGGGAGGACCCACAAGTGCCTTCCTGCCTGTTTTACCCTGTCCGCACAGCACAGCAGGCAGGAGTGCGCAGCACCGGTGAGTCCCAGCTCTTGGGAGGGGACAGGGAGCACCCCATGGGCAGGCAGAGCCCAGGACACTGAAGAGGCAGCTGCCCATGGGGTTGGTCCTGCTGTGCACAGAGCATGCCAGTGGACATAGCCCTGTCTCTGCCCAGTTTCATTTAAAGCAGTAGTCTGTATTTGCTCTTATTTGCCTTGCAAATTTTCCTTCAGCAAATGAGGAGATGTGCAGAAGGGCCTGCTGTGTTCTCTGATGAAGTCGTGCCCTGTTTGTTGAAGTCCTCATCTGGAAAATGAGCACAGCCTCCTTTCTCAGTATGTTTTTTAAAATAGGTGTTCACCTCCTGTGGTGTTGCCTACTATGATTCTCTATAGAGACAGTGTGCTTTGCAGAAATAATGATGAAAGAGGAGACATTTGTAAGTACTCATGCTTTAATTGATGTACTTAGAATATATTTTGCCTCAGCAAAGCTAATATGATTATGGCATCATTAGTATATTTGCAGGTGGAGGGTCACAGCTACCTCATTAAAAAGAAATTATACCCTTTCATCTAAATGTATCTCCATGCTGCAGTTCATTTCAGGAAGCCAAAAGAAAGGCCAAGAGACAGGAAAGCCTTGAAGTGAATTACTGAATCACATCTTGCATCACACCAAACAAAAAAAAAATAGGTATACGATGTGGTTCTTCAGAAAAACACCCTTAGATTTAGAAAAAACTATTAAAAAGGCAGATTATGAGGTAGATTCTTAAATTCTCTGGACAAGGGATGCAAATCAACACATTCCTCAACTTGGTAGTAGTATAATTATTTTTCTAATGTACAAATTAAAGAGGACAGTGAGTAAACAATTATTTACTAGTACCATGGTAATGAAGTGCTTTTAACAGAGTATGACTGGTAAATTGAGTAAATACAAAAAAATGCTCTTTGAGATATGGCTCAAGCCTACAGAGCCAATATTTCTAACTTCTGAATTTTTCTCGGACACCAGAAGAATAATAAAGATCTACAAAAACAAAAATTCTAAATCTATTATATAAAATCCTGCATCCCCTTTTACATCAAACACTTTCCATTATCATAACATAATCCGCCATAAATTAAAACCAAATTATTTGACTGTAACTCAGGTTTTAATTTCATAAAGTGGTGTCAATGATTTGAAAAGTTAATTAATACAAAATAATAATGCCTGCAGAACAATTCAAGCATTTACAGATGTAGTAGAATTATTCATTCATGGAACAGAAACAATTCCTGAGGTACTCAAAGGGGAGAGGTGTGAGAATTAAGTACTCTCATTGATCTTAAAACTGCTGGATGGCAAATGGTACTGCTGGGAATAACTGCTTCCCTTCTCATATGGCAGTATTTTATTGAAAGTGAAATGACTTGTCATGTAACCCTCCAGTTTGTAATCATCAGTCTTTGGTAATCTGTTCACTTAATGGACATCTGGAACCCATTATTTTCTTTTTCCTCTTCATCTTCCTTTTATCTTGCTCCTCACATTCTTCCCACTGTCCAAAAATTACACAACACTGTTTTTATATTTCAAAAATATATTATTTATTAATTCTGGAAGTATTGTAACTGTTACTTGACATAAACATCTTTACACTCACTCTAAGAATGATGAATTGAACACAAGCACTGCAATTTTCCTAAAGAAATGTGACAAGGCTATAAGGGAGGTGTGACTAAATATGCCTCATAACTCCACCTAAAAGAAACATCACTCTCTATCCAATGACATGAAAAATATTGTAATAACCTTAATTAAGCAGAGTCTTAAGCAGGAAGAGAGGTGGGAAATGATGTCTTGAAACATAAGAGATCATCAGGGACAAGAAGGTAAAGTTTACATCTCCTAAGAAAAGAACTGAAATGAATATGAGGCAAGAAAACCATCTTGATTCTTTGGTTCTCATAACATGGTATGTAACAACAAGCCAGTTACAGTTTGGAGGGATGTTTGCAAAGGGTGAACAAACTTTCCCACATCTCAAATACATGCTGTGCTTTCTTTTAGTCTCTCTGATCTGAGCCAAACCACAAAGGATAATACACACATCTGGAAAAGCAATGAACATCCTCAAAAATACAGCATACTTACAGAGTCCAGTAGACACAGCTTTTCTGTGAGAATTTCCCCTATGAAAAACTGACCCAGTTTGATGATGTTGGTATCTCTTTCAAGACATCTTGCATTTCTTTCCAACTACATTGGCTGGAACTTTTCCTGTTTACTTCTCTATGCCAAGCCATGCTTCTTCTTTTCTTATTTTATTTGTCTTTAATTTACTTTGTCAAAGTTTTTCTTCAATATCTGCAATTTCTCTGAGCTACCACTTTTTAAAATCACCACTGGTTATTTCAGTTATTTAATCCTATTTCATTTAATTATTTTAACTGGTTTTTTTCTAGTTTACTCTAGATGCTTTGGATCACTCAGCAGCCATCTTCTCTGTAGCCTTATTGATATATTTCCCATTACAAATATTTTTAAGTTGAGCAAAATTTTCTAGAAAATTTGTCAAAGTAAATATTTACTCCTGCAGGGGATTACACTTCTCAGTTAAAATCATGCAGGCAAAAATGTCTTTGCTTGTTCTACAAATATGGCAAATACCACAACAATGGCTAATCTAAGCCTGTTTCAAAAGATAAACTGCTTTTTTAAGATGCATGCTTGAAAATTATTAAATTTCAGAACTTTCTTCTTCCTTTCCAAGTCCATTCCTTCATACTGCTGAGATCTGTTGTGCTGGTGCATTCCAGCAATTTAAATAGGTGTTGAGCTGAAATAAAATTCAGTTAGATAGCTGTTTTTCTCTATTATTTTTCTGCTTGATGAATTTCCCTGTCTGCTCCATCACCAGTTCACAGAAGTTGCCCTGCATACAGACAACATGCAGGCAGAGTGATTGTGGACAGGCTTCCAAAGCCCTTCTGCTTCCCTCAGTAATCTAACAGCAGTGAGAGCTTCTAAATTCTTTCTCTCTCAAATACTACTCTTCAGACTGTATGTGATGGGAAAATCTGCTGCGAGCTTATCCAAAATGGCCACTGCAAAATGAAAGCAATCCCATTTTTTCAGAGTCATTGGCCCTTCAGCAAGTCTACAAAAGAGCAGGGCCTCTAAAGAACTTGTCTGAGAGAGCATCACAGCTATCAGCACCATGACTGACCTCCAGCAGCCCAGGAAACAGGGCAGTGTCATTCAGGTGAATACCTAAAACTGTTTCCCCATGGCTGCACTTTTCCCACCTAATTACCTGACCCTATCTGATTTCTCAAAGCTGCCTACACTTACACTAAGAACATGGTTTTATAACAAGGGTGATAGGAAGAAATGTATGATAGTGTCATAATTAGAATTAATGTTAAGAGTGAGGCTACTTTGTCAGAGCTGCTGTGGTTAGCTGTCCATCATCTGTAATTCCCTACATTTGTATTTGGCTGACCACATTTTAAAGAAAACTTCATAATCCACAGCTTTAAAAAAAAACCTGTGGCATTTCCCTTGAAATGTTTTGCTGGAATCTTAAGTTACAGTTTTTGACCAGATAAAATTGGAGGAGGAAATTAGCATAGTTTTAATGTTTTCTGCAGACTGTGGTGTTTGATCACAAAGACATTAACAGCAATAACATGTTGGTAGCTTTCTTAAGAACTTGACTGGAAATGAGCCAAAAGCAACAAACTCTGGCAAATTCCCAAGCCCTACTTATTTCTTTAGTGAAGAAGCAGTATTACAGTAGCAAACTTTTAACTTTTATATGGCTGTTCTTTCAAAATAAGTTTCAAGTCAAATCGAACAGAATTTACAATTAATGTCTCATTTATATTTATAGTGACAAAATAAGTGTGGGTTTTGCTCCCCTATAAATTTATGTTCAAAATGTTAAAACACCCCTGGATTTTAATGCTCTTCCCAAACTGATTCCTGTCACATGAGATGTGATATTTCATGGTTCAAAACTTACATCCTAAGACATGCCTGCCCTAACTTCTACAGTCTGGCAGCCCTTTTTATTTATTCTAGACTAATTCTGAATGA